TCACTCTATTCCAGTACAATCACTTACGTATGCATCTCTTGGGATTGGTAGGATCTACTGTAAAGTACTTGTCACAGGTACATCTGTAACTACCCGGAGTGTTCACACATCCTTGCATACAGTCACTGGCTGGATCGCACTCGTTCACATCTATAAAGACATTAATAATAAAAGAATAATCATCGTAGAACACATGCAGTACAACCATGAAATAAAATCAAAATTGATAATGACAAACAGTGYACTATTCAGCGACTAATACTCGTTATCACTCAACTAGAACATGCAGTTCATAACACAAAGACACAAATACCAAAGACCAAAGACCATTCGTGATAATTTATCTTTGTGTATGTAACTTTGTGCTTGTTAACGTTTGCGAAAGTACCAAATCATTTTGAGGAATATAATACGATACTTACCGTCACAACTGCGGCCATCAATGTTCAACAGGTAGCCATGGTTACAATCACATGCAAATGATCCAGGTGTGTTAGCACACACTTGGGAACAGCCGTGTGTGGAGCCATCACACTCATCAATGTCTAGCGTATGAACCCGATAAAATAATGATATTTAAAGTTTCTCACAACGTTCTTTAGTTTTTAATGTAAATGGTAAAGGAATATTTATCTTTAAAATGCAWTATTTCTATTAGGTGGTAGGAAGGCGTTACCGCCATTTGCATTGCTACGCGGCTACCCCAGACAAGAATCGCGACGTGCACTTTGCAATAGACCGCCGTCAATCAAACACGTTGACATCATTTACAAGCGTGTGTGATTCAAAAGGCGCCAAAACTCGTCGATTGTTTACAAGTATTATGAGCCACACTCACCGGGCCGATCCAAATGCATGTAAATGACGACAACGTGTTTGATTGACGGCAGTCTATTGTAAAGTGCACGTCGCGATTTTTGTCTGGGGTAGCCGCGTAGCGATGCAAATGGCGGTAAAAAACTACTTCTAGAAAGCGAAAGCGGAATGTTTTGATAACGCGCAACGAGTCAAGAGTAGCTTAGCGGTACTAGAGAAGCTGGTCGGCTCCCACTGTTTGGGTATTTAGGTTCTATCGGTGGACTCGGAATCCCATGTGAACAGAGTTTGTCCGGTATTTCTTTCTTTACCCGGACGTTCTGTAGGTCATTTACCTCTGCAAAACCTTATAATAACAAGCGAAATTTCAATTTGGTCTGTGAATTAGCTATAACATTACTTTGATCAGACCCCAAATGTAAAGGTTTTGAAGGTTCCCTTGCGGTGTGCTTAATTTTGGAGCCTTCCTTTTCCTCCTCTGCGCTAAGTTCTAAAGCTTTCATTCCCCACAAATTTCATTATTCTRTGGGCCAGAGGTTTGTTTACTAAAAAGATACCGAGCTCTTTCATTTTAAAACMAGAACGATATATACCTGAACAAGATTCCCCTTTACCCGTAAATCCAGGCGGGCAGGGTCCACATTCATATCCCGTAACATTAGCAGGAGCTGGTAAGTCTTTACACTGYACTCCAGGGTAACATGGSTTCATATTGAYCTCACATGCATCAATATCACTCTCACAGAATCGGCCMGTGAAGCCACTTCGACAATGACAAGACATRATGCTAAAACGACTGTTRTTACGATTTTCTTCTTGATTACTTGTCAARCAGTCACCACCATTGTGGCATGCGCAAACGTGTAGCATCGGTCTTAAAACAGARTTAGCCCCCTTGCTATCTTTGACGATCACTTCCAGTTGAACCTTTTTTGAGAACAAAAACAATTGATACATCAATATCCCATCCTTTTTCAAGATGTTAATAGGGTAGTGCTGATCTTGCGAAGCGAAAAATATGTCTGCCACTCGACAGCCATTTTCAGKGGAAAAWATTCAAGAACACCAGATCCTGAAGAYCAACGAAGTATGGTCGAAACGTAGATCAAAAAKAACATTGGCAGAGTATATTCCCAACGAAATGAGTGAAAKATGTCGATATATGGTTCGTTAGAARGAAAGGTAAAAACAAWTTTGCAGMTTTGAGAGTATGGCACTACAAATTTAATTRTAACAATTAATGAACTTACAGCTTTGGTTGTAACATTCCATACTATGGTTACAGATGAATTGCTTGYTTTCACGATGCCCTTGTCAGGTAAACCCGTAACAATGAACTCCATGGCATCACCATTAGGATCTTTAGCCTGGAAAGTAACTAGTTCAGTTCTGTTGACCTTCGCGTAAATATCCAAAGACGATCCATTTTGAAATGCAGGAGGGGAGTTTTCTGTGGATAGAAAAGAGTGTTTGTTTAATACATTAAGTATCATATTTGCCGACACACGGTTGAGTTAGTTGGTGCCAAGTGTTATCTTTGGTATTCGACAAGACTTTGGGAGCAAGTTCTGCCTTTGTAATCTACAGAGAGTAAGACCTTCGAGTGGTTCGGATGACCAATCATATATAATAGCGGTAATGTCTCTCCATGCTTCATCATTACTAACTAATTAATACCAGATGAACTGAAAAGAAACACTGAGGAAGAAACGAAACCCTGGCAGGAACCAYCCACAGTATCTACAACGCATAGCATTAGTAACCAACTCTCGTGATTATATATTGCATAAAATGATCACGGTACCCACTTAGTGTACAGTGCCTTTAACTATAGAGCAGTTTTCGCATGACTGTAAAACGCTCTGGTCTGACAGTGCCGTGACCTTGGCGTAACTGTGTCCGCGCCGTGTCTATGCCAAGTTCCTGGCATTTGATTGGATGGAGAGTAAATTATTGAGCAATGTGATTGGTCTGGTCTATCCCTTGCTTTGTCGCGACCGTGTTCGTGCCGCGAGCTTTTCATAGTCATACGAAAACGGCTCTATGAACATAGAGCCAATGTTACTCTTGGAGGGAATCCCAATTCATTAGTTTATATGAGACGTTTTTTTTTTATTTCGTTGAAATTTCAAATTTCAACTTACAATTGTTAAAAGTATCATTTTTTTTTTTTAACACGGGTAGAGATATATATGTTTTACGGAGTACAATAATAGACTTTACAGTTCCCTGCGCCTTCTTGCAAGGTAACCGTGTCGGTGTGACCTTGCAATTATAGATAGAGACCTTTATCRACAMTTATTRTACRCGCACAATTATGCACATRYCTCCATCATTGCAAGACTGTCGYCGCCGTTCTCGCTTTGAAGCACAGGCACCGCTAACTTTCAAGATTGCGCMGGGAACTGWGAAGGGGACTATTTGTTTTCTGATCAAAAAGGTTAACCAGGGCATGTTGACCGATTTGAAAATAATAACTCCTCTGTTTTGGGTAATGTTTATGGGAAACATTGATGCTCAGAGATTTTTCACCAATGCATCTAGAATATATTGCCAAACTAGGTGTCATTAGTAAGTAAAATAGATTGTTTCTTCGCTTGTTTGCTTCGAAGATTATAGGCTAGTTTTCTAGTTTTTCTAGTTTTTCTTCTCCAAAAAATACGAATTTCAATTCCTCTTCCTGAGAATTGAATAATTTGAGTTAACGTTGATCTGATAAAAATAAAATGGCCTTTACTTGCTTAGGGAATTGTCATAAGCCCTCCCAATAAGAATGGTTAGATTATTGCTTACTCAGTGTGCTGGATTCATTAACCATTTGAGATCCAACAATCTTGGTGCTAATTCCAACCGAGAGGTCTTTGGTTGAAGCAGTATCAAACAAGCAATTAATGTCACCATTACAAGCAGCATAAGCTTGTTGTTTCAGGGACTCGTTGTAGAACTTTAAATCTTCGATGAACATTGGCACAAATGATGTATTTGAGAACGTTGAAACGTTTTCGCCAGCGTCATATGTAAACAAGGAGGTGCTATCGTTCACTTGCCCTGTAAAGGTAACGAAAAAAGAAAGGCAATTGGACCTCATATCATTGCATTGTGATATATCGTTTTATCGTGTTGTTTTCCATTTCAGAAAACGTATCATTCTCTTTAGAATAAGATTATATGTTTGAACTGTATTCATATCCACGTCCTTTTTCGCTCAAGATCTATTTACAATACCTTTTATCTACCTACGGTTCACTTTGTAAATTCACAAATTAAATTAAGCCTTAAAAAAAACTTACATTTCTGTCCAAACTGGAASTGAATATCCTTGCTACTTGCATTAGCAGGTAAGACAAGTCCACTTGGTGTTGTCAGRTCATCTGTTTGGTCCCCATTCCAGGTCCCTAACAACCCTTTTGTGTGGTTCCTGAACGATTTGGGCATTGCCAGTAAGATGGACAGGGCACCCTTTATYTCTGTTACAGTAASTGAGATTCCAGATGGGAATGTTGCTCTGAATGCGTTGTCGTTAGGACGGGAGATGACGACAGACCCGTTCATTCTTAWGGATTGGTTAGTAAGGCTGTAGTAATCATATGCCTCTCCATCAACTAATAGTGTTATGTTACCTAAAAACGGAAGGTCGTCAAAAGTGTAATTATTAAAGTGCAGAACCCCTTCTTCAATACATTCAGTATTAATTCTACCTAAAGCAAATAGTTGAATGTTGAAATATTTCTTCCTTTGAATGTTGCATCTTTGTGTTAATATAAAGGTTTATACTTCCATTATGTCAATAACTGTGATGTATTCGCAGGCTCCATTAAATATACAAATTTTAACTGATTCACACAAATAGCATTTAAAAAGCATCATCATTATACTCAAGGTTTCTACAATGTTGATTGTAAATTTGGTATCTCATAATGGCTAGTGATAAGTATTACTAGTTAAAACAAATACACTCCAAAGCCTGGAATGACGTCACAGTCATTAACACATTGGAGCTATAGACCTTTACAACTTGAAGACGCAACATTCAATTCAAGGTCAACTATTCACCTTATGTAGAATCAATACTGAAAATTGTATATTATCAGGGGTTAGGTGCACTTTAACGATTACTGCGAAGAGTCAAAATATCAATAGATAATTCAAAAGACAAGATAAAGGGACATATTTTAGTCTTTTTTAGCTTTTCGTAATRCAGTACAAATTTGCTTAAGAAAGAAAAAAAACGTTTAGCTTCTAGAGAATATTATGACATGCTCTAATAATTTATCTGTTCTTACTGAAAAATACCTTCGTTTTCCAATTCCATTTGCACCTTGCTTGTATTTCTTTCTCTCGCCACCACAGCGCAAAACACAGTTGCAGTACCGTCTCCTTTTGCAAGTCTCGTTCGAGCTTGAACTTGGAAGAAGCCATCCTTTGCATCCATCATGACATACTCACCAAGACCATTAAATGTGTARTTTCTTCCATCGAGACTGACAAAGTGAGGATCTCCCCAGATCCAACCTGTTTTGAAGATGAAATTCAACTTATGATTCAACACGGAATTCATATAGATTGGGTTGTGTCAACACTAATTACGTACAGCGTTAACATGGTTAGTTTATTAGTCGCGTATCAATTATAAAAAAAATAAATCAACTGCATTCCGAGTCGGCAACTTTTTTGCCAACTCGAAATAATAAAAAAGTGACTTCCAAGCCAGTTTAGCCTCAAACAGTTGTTAAGTGAAGGATACTATATAACTTATTCTATTTTCATATTAGTAAAATGAATGACTTACTCCAAGCAGGAGGCTCATATTGACTGCAGTCTCCTGACGGTCGCTTTTCATAATACAAATGACACARGGCAGATTGTACACAGCACCATTCATAACTTCTAACGTCGCTTTCAAAATGGTCACCGTATTGCATRCGATTGTATCTATGGGGTGTGCCACCGCCTGGAAATCCAACAATGAGGGCCCCCCAATTAGAGGAATAACAACACTTCTGTTCCCATCCGTCAACCGAAGCAAATGTTGAATATGCACAAGGAAGGGATTTCCGCCACCAKTTTGCTTCAGGGATGAATCTTTCATCCCACCAGGCCTGTCGACTAGTACAAGGACAAGGCTCGAGGTATTCCAGAAAAGGTCGCGGATCTGGCTGCTTCTTAAACCACTCTCTGCATTTCTGTTCTGCCYTCGCGGTTCCCGTTGACGTCTCTAAACGAAAGAACCACTTTCCTACGATGTCATGTGGGTGATTCTGCAAGATGTTGCGATTAAATGATATCTTTTGTCCTGTATTACTGTCAATGCTTTCAACGTTGACTGTTCCAGATCTGGATTTAACAAATTAAAACAATTGGATTAACAAATTTAATCTTGGCATATAAAATGTAACTGGCATGTATACAAAACTCAAAACGTAATATACTTTTGGACGTTGGAACACCAATCCAATTAAGTTATCCATATTTACCTCGGAATGATGTAGCTAAATCTATTTCCTGCGCTAAATCCAACTACAGGAAGTCCTCTCGAGTTCCAGAATCGATTGTAATTAACACTTTGAAAATAAATAAATAAATTTAAATAAATGAATGCGACAAACTAAAAGCAATTTTTTCAATGGTAGGTTATGTTTGTTAGGCCAAGATTCCTTAGAATTAACCGATTTCCAAGACAGTCTAGTTGCAAGGACAGTAAGACCGAATACGAAAGTCGAACTTAACATGAACCGAACCCAATGACATAATAGACGACCTCCTTATGATCCATTGATGCGTACGGCTCATGTGAATATGGTTGATATTGATGGTGGGATTGTGGTAGTGAATGATCGGCGCTAAATGCAAATGGCTGTATATTGCACCGGACATTTAAAATGATTATCTCCTTATCATTACCTTGCGGTGGGCGCTGACCATTGAATACCATTGGGTGGRTAGTTATACATGGCAAAAGTGTACACCCCATTAGTGATTATGACAGCTTGGAAAGTGTTGTACTATATAAATATATATAAAATAAAATAAATTTCTGTACAAAATATTACAAATGAAGACGAAGATATATATGTGTTAGGACATTGGGTATTTATGTAAATAAGTTAACAGCACATGGTTATTCTATTTGTTTAGGATATATATAATGTGTATTTTGTATAGAAGCATCATGGCAGTACGGATTGACAGCATTTCTTTGTCCCCCTTTTGTGCGAGGGATCGCTGCTAGCGCTCATCATTATGATATCAGAATGCTCTAGTTGACATGGCTAACACACGTCTACACCGTGACTTTGAGTCATAAGAAAATCTCTCCAAAATGATTTTGTTATACGGGCCAGTTATTATTTACTGTGAAAACGATAGTGCCAAGATGGAAGCAGATTCACTKCCTCTCATCCCTCTGATAGCGAGTTTGAATCAATGAATAGACCCGTTTCGAATTCCAAATTACCGCTGTGTTTCTTGATTACAGACTCACTTGCACAGGGTTAGCCTCGAGCTTGTTCAGAATATTCACGTGTTCCAGTCAAGGTCCGTCG